TAGGGCATCCAGGAGCTGTAGTCAAACTAGAATGAAACATCCATCCATCTTCATCCGCTTTATCCGAGGCCGGGTCGCGGGGGCAGCAGCCTAAGCAGAGAGGCCCAGACCTCCCTCTCCCCAGCCACCTCCTCCAGCTTATCCGGGGGAACACCAAGGCGTTCCCAGGCCAGCCGAGAGATATAATCTCTCCAGCGTGTCCTGGGTCTGCCCCGGGGCCTCCTCCCGGTGGGACATGCCTGGAACACCTCACCCAGGAGGCGCCCAGGGGGCATCCTTGTCAGATGCCCGAACCACCTCAGCTGGCTCCTTTCGATGTGGAGCAGCAGCTGCTCTACTCTGAGCCCCTCCCGGATGGCCGAACTTCTCACCCTATCTCTAAGGGAGAGGCCAGCCACCCTTCGGAGGAAGCTCATTTCTGCCGCTTGTATCTCGTGTATACTTGTGGGAAAGTACCCAAAGCATTCCTGCAAACTTTACTGTCTCCCCAATATTTGGAAGAGTCTCCAATAATGTCGTCATGCTTGACTGCCCCTTTGTGGTTGGAGCAGGTTTGTGAAGCAAGCCTGAGCCATAGGGCATCCAGGAGCTGTAGTCAAACTAGAATGAAACAAGTTTTTATAAATGACTTGCTTTATTTTTTCAAACAAAGGACATAGCTATTGTATCTATGTAAATAAGGGTAGATATCTGTTCTCATGTTAAACATTATCTATCAATATCTTCAGAGCTACAGCAAATTCTATTATTCTTCTATTATGTTTTTCTGATACATAAAGCAAAGGGAATTATAGTCGGAGAGAATAACTGACAAAGCAGATTTTACTAAATGTTTTATATAGTTATATAAATGATAAATGTGGTCCAAGATTTTGCGTGCCATAAGATAAGATAAGATAAAATAAGATAACCTTTATTAGTCCCACATGTGGGAAATTTGTTTTGTCACAGCAGGAAGTGGACAGTGCAAAAGTTATGAGGCAAAAATTAGAATACAATAAGAATAAATACAGTACACAACTGTACAGAATAGAATAAAATAAAATACTATATACAGTAGAATAAAATAAAATAAATATACAATAATAATGATGTGTGTTTTTTGATTTTTGCTTCACCTTATGATAACATTAGGTGAAAGTTGAATATCTGGAAAATGTAGTTGGTTTCAGAATGTGAGAATTTGACAACATTCACATGTTTGCATAAAATCTGATAACTCAGCTTATCACAGCATGATGGGACAATGATCCAAAGAACTGGGTGCAGTAACTTGGAATGACTTGACTCAGCCAAATGCTCCTAAATTTCTTGTAAAATTATGAGGTGTTTCTCTGGATCTGCTGCAGTATGTATCCTTTACAAAAATGCAAACCAGGGAAACATGGAATAGAATAGAGACACTTCTCTGTGGCCAAAAGGCAGCTGAATCAATTCCTTATTGGAGATGCAAAGACTCACTGTACTTGATCAAACATAATTACATAGCGTGCTGTCATACCTGTCCATTATTGAGTGCAGCATGTTGAACTGACACTGTGAAGATCACCATGGTGATAAACTTGATCACCTCCTCAACAGTATTAAAGGATGCCGGAAACCCTGTTAACAGAACGCTCACTGTCAGTCACTATATTTTTCATTATAACCTAGGCTTTATGTGACAAATATAATTAAGGGTATTTATTATTTACCAGAGAGTTTGTTTCCTAAGACGCCGTGTGTAAATATCTCATTGATCCATTCCTGCAGCTCGGTGTCCTTGCACACATCGGATAATAGTGCTATATACTTAACAAAGCTGGTAAAAATATCTACTACTAGCCGAGGGGGGTCTATAACAACCCACAATGGTAATAAAATAGCCCTTGAAAAGTTGGAGCTTGAGGGCAAGAAGTTCAAACTGTTTACGAACAGATACCGATGAATCAACAGTAACATGGAATTTGCTTTTTACATAAATTGCAACACCGCCATCCTTTCTGGGGCGGTCGCAACGGAAAAGATTATAGCCCGTTTTGTCTTTGTCAGTAATCAATTTTGTAAGCCAGGTTTCTAATAATATGAGAATATCGGTATCTAACTCTCTCATCCAAATTTTCACAAAATCAAGTTTGGGAAGAAGACTTCTGACATTTCAATGAGTGATACCAAGACCTGTTCGAGTTTTAAAATCACAAGGAGTACTTAAGCATTTGCAATCTGGACCGGGATTAGGTTGCACATTTCCAGATAAAAGAAGCAGAAGAACAATAAAACATTTTCTTTTTACACATATTGGAATAAATAAATCAGTTAAATCAGTTGAAATGAGATCTCTGCTGATGATCACGTTTGAGAAGCTTCTAAAAGATGTAAAATCCCACCTTGTTCCCTTTGAGAGGAGTAAGAAGTATGGTTTCTCTTGCTCCACAGACTGTTTCTGCACCTCATGTAGACAAAAAGCTGTCAATAAAAGCAATAAAGGAAAAAAAGACTACCGAGGATAACATGCTGACTGACGGATAGACCTGGTAGACCTGTGGTAGAGCCTGGTTGTGGCCTGCTAGGTGATGGTGGAGCCTGGCTGTGGGCTGCTGGCTGGACCTGCTAGCTGATGGTGGAGGCTGGCTGTGGGCTGATGGTGGAGCCTGGCTGTGGGCTGCTGGCTGGACCAGCTAGATGATTGGTTGGCTTGTTCTGCTTATTCTGTTAATTTAATCTTCACTTGCTAATGATGTTTCACTATATGATCCCGGGAGGAGAAACAAATCCCTTTGGGGTTGCATTAGGAAGTGCATCCGGCAAAAAACCCCCTGCTAAATTAAACATGTAAAGCTACCCACTGTGACAACCTCTTGTGAATAAGGAAGCAGCATTTAGTATATTATATCTCTGTAGTAGAAGTTGGGGATTGAGTCCAGACTTTGCAGTGATGTTATCTGGCCAACAGATGGAGCTGTAGCTCATTTTAGTCAGACTTCTTTCCCATACCTGCAAGTAGGTAGGATGAGCAGCTGTACAGACACTGAGGAAACATGTTTTTCATGAACCGTTTGATCCTGTCAGACCCAAAAGAGAATAATTATTATTAGTTAAATATAATTAATAATCAAAAACATTAGTAGTAGTTTTTAATTAATGTACTTTTTGAATTAAGAATAATCTAAATGCAAATGTAAAATATAAATACACTGATGCTAAATCTAGTACTAGACGCAAAAGAAATATTTTCACACAATTATAAAATGTAGATGATTTTTATCACTGAGTAAATACCACAGTTTTCCTGTATTTTCACCAGGAGAATATAAATACTGTTGGTATTTGTTTATGAATATTTTAATGCTGATATTTGACTAGAAAAAGAAGTGGTGAAAATGTTTTATAATTAATTTAGCTGAGGTTAATCTAAATTATACCGTAAATGTTATTCTAGAGTTGATGACAATAAGAGATGTAGCTATAGTTTTTAAATGCAGTTTTTTCATAGATTGCAATTATGGCCAAAAAAATCTGCAAACTGCTGCCGATTTATTGGCAGCACAGCCAGAATGAAACCTCCTGTTCCACCACATGCCAAAGGTGCTCTACTGGGTTGAGGTCTGGTGACTGTGAAGGACATTTGAGTACAACGACCTCATTTCCACATTCAAGGCACCAGTTTGGGATGAAATCGGCTTTGCGACATTGGCGTTATCCTGCCGGAAGCAGCCATTGGAAGATGGGTACACTATTTAAATAATGCTCAATCCGTACCAAGAGGCCAAAAGTGTCCCAAGAAACTGTCCCACACACTATCACACCACTAGCAGTGGTCCGAGTTGTTGATACAAGTCAGGATGAATCATGCTTTCATGTTTACAGACATGTATTGCAGCAGAAATGGAGACTCATGAGACGATTTTCAAATATTATAATGTCCAATTTTGGTGAGCCTCTGCAAATTGTAGCCTCAGTTTTCAGTTTGTACCTGACTGGAGTAACACCCGGTGGCGTCATCTGATACTATAGTTCTGTTTCGAAATTTGCCATGTGTTTAGGGAACACATGGCAAACACATGTCCAGGGAACTGATGCTCACTTGATATTTTGAAGACCATCCTCTTTAAACTCAAGAGATGGTTCTGCAGGAAATACCAGTAGATCAACAGTTTCTGAAATACTAGTTTTAGAAAGACAGCTATGCAATTTTAATTAATAATTTAACTGTGATTTAACTATACTAGCCTAGTTACAGTAGTAGAAATAAATAAATGAAACAAACCCTCCAAAAATAAGAAATAACTTTACAAAAATTGTAAAGACTTTATTAAACTGTATTAAAGCACATGCATTTCTGTGTTATCCATCTGTTTACACTCACATTCGGACATCCTACATACCCAGACAACAAGTTTGCACTTGGCTGACACTTAAAGAGATCAGAGCTATATCATTTAGGGTCACTGAAGAGGGAATAGCAAATATTATATAAAGTGCTAGCATACCTTCTGACAGACAGAAATTATGCAAACAAACAAAAACAACAATCTGCTTTTCCCCATGGCTACTACTGAAAGGCAAGAGTGTGAAAACATTTAAATTCCTGTTAATATAGATATCATATCACATAGAATAATATAAATCCACTGTGCATATCTGTACTCAAGAAAATATAGATCATCTTATCAGAATAAGTGCGCATTTTCAGATCATATCCATGCGAAGTGAAATGTTTGTTTTATTTCTCTCTCTCCACAGGGACCTCAAACACACACACAACAAACCTGGCAAGTGAAGTGTTTTCATTAAGGCTTCTTCATAATCTAGTGTGATGCAGGAAGAGATTTATTTTATTTTTTTTTTTTTAGTTGCAGCATTCACAGATTACGGCAGTGAATCTCATGCAGCTTTGACTGGTCGGTTGTGTTTGGTCAGATGTTAACATGGCGTAGGACGCGACGGAGTGAGTGTCCATCCCGTGCGGTGCACATGGCGGGAAGGGGTACAGGCTCGGTCTTGTGCTCCACATTGTTGAAGTGGCACTTCTTAAGGTGGTTCGACATGCTGGGGACGTCAGTGAAGCCCCACGATAACACCGGGCTGAAGGCAGTGCTGAATCGCCAAACCTGGGTTAGTAAATAAAAAAAGTAGTTTTTGATTTATTATCTTTAAAATCTGGCCTTTTATATATTACTTTGCATTTAATATAGGTAGTACGATAGCTATATACATTGGTGCTAACAAGAAATTTTAATAACTATTTTAGAGAAATAGTTAAACACCAGTATACAGTACAGTACACTGGATTTCTGCTTACTTTATTTTTCGTCTGCCATGACACAGTGCCATGAGGACCAGGGCTTTGTCTTCGCTCCCACTGCAGGTCCACTACACCCCTGGTCTGAAGGAGGCTGGCACACACTTCCCTCATAGTCCTTGATACCAATGACAGCTGGCACAAGCTGAAACTGTCCAGGAATCCAGCTATGTGCCACAGTATCTCAATAGGAAGCCCACTAAACTGGTCTGACTGGGAGTCACCTGGAAGTTTTGCTTTAGGGCAAGGCTGGACTCCAAAGGATTTGAGGTGCCTGTCATGAATCACCTTTGCCCCCTGGACAGATGGGTAAAATCTTCTTTGGGAAAACGTGCAGCCATAATATGCCAGGGGGCAGCGTTGCTCCATCCAACCATTGAGACCAGCGTGAATGTCACCGTGGACATTTGTGAAATGGGATGAAAACTGGTCCCGGCGGAATGACTGACCACAGACAAAGGGGAACATATGCTGGTAGCGGGGGTTAGGAGGGAGGTAACGGTTATGAGGGACTGCCTCGACCTCCAGAGCTTCCAGGACGAGACCTAAGCGGAGGGTACGGAAAGGGCTGGGGTAGGAGATCTGTGGGGCAGCATGGTCGCAGGCAGAAGCAGAGGCCATGTCACCCACTCTGGTGTTAGTGACTAAGATTGCAGCAGGAAAGGTGAAAGTCTGTGTGCCAAAGTTAACATGGTAACCATCAATATAGACTGTATCAGAGATCCTTCTGCACTCTCTAGACTCCTCTAAACAGAAGAGCAGGGCTGCTGTGATCAGATCGATCTCTCCTAGACCCATGGGGTCGTCATCCTGCTCTAGCTCTGAAGTATCCACTGCCTTGTCCTCCATTACGGGTTGGAACCTAGACAATGACCTGCCTGGAGTGATACCCATCTGACCATTAGAAAATGAAGATTGGCTTGGGCCCCTAAAGGTCTGGTAGTTCCTCTTGACCCCATGGTTTTCTGAAAGAAAGAGCCCTCTATCTTCTAGAACGATATGACCAGCCCTCTGTGCCACAGGCCTTCTGACATGGAGTGGAGGTGCCATTTGACGGGCAAGTAATTCTTGAGAGTCATCAGCATGCAAGTTATCTTGAACTTCAATGGGACAGGCCGTCTCAAGACAAGCCTCAGGTGCCCCTAAAAATGGTCCATTGGCTGTATTCACAATCATTACGTCTGTTTCGTTTAGAGACCCATTTCCACTCAAGCAGCTTGAACAAACACTTTCCTCCTCAATGCCGCTTTTATGCAAACTATCTGAAGCTGCAGGTGTTTCGTCTTCCAGTCCATTCTGAAAGTCTCCATTGTTGCTCAATCTACTTTTCTGTACAGCAGCTTCTTTGTTCACACGCTCTGCGCTGGTTTCACCAGAGCTGGCACTGCTAACAAAGTCTAAAGCAGCAGCTAAGCTTCTTGCAGTCTCAACTGTGGCCTCATACAGTTTACCAAAGTGCTCTTCATTCAAGCCATTAATTCCACTGAAAATTTTCTCCTTTGCTGAGCCTGGTGGGTGTGGCTGTGCTTGATGAGTGGCTGGCAGCGGGGAAGGTGACTGAATAAATGAGGAGGCCTTAGGAGCACATGTTTGTAAAGTGGAGTGTGTCGCTCTGTTCTCTTTACTAACACTGACAAGTGGCTCTCCTTGTGCAGTAGGTGCCATGGCAATGACCTTGAGGGACTCCAGCAGTGTACGCTGGTCCTGAAGGGCAAGTGCCATGTCCAGCTGCTCTACCTCTTCCACACCACGGCTCAGGCTTTCATAGGAAGTATAATCCAGGCAACTAACAGGCCATCTGTTCCACTCCATAGTACAGCACACAAGTCCAGCTGGACACACTTCCAGGTGAGCATACATCTGGTTGCGCACCAGGGTGGCGGGGCAACCATATCCACTGTTTAGGCAAGGAATCCTCATCAGTGGGCACATAAGTTGATGTTCATCCACTTTGCAGGAGTGAAAAACAGCCCCACAAAGCAAAGGACACGTTATAAGCTCGCAAGAAACTCCTGTTTCAGCTTTGACCGTGCACCTCTGGTTAAAACAGGAAATACAGTGAACATGGTCCTCTTCCATCTTCAGACCAGAGTGATGGGGAGTGACTCTGGAAGAAGACAGTCCACAGTCCTGCCAAAAGATCAAATGCAGTAAGTGTAGGGCGACGACACATTAGCAACAAAGTCGACTGCTTTAATACAGTATCGGAGCTCGAGTCAAAAAGCAACAGAATGCAGTGTGATATTATTACAATACAGTAAATGACGAAACCAAGATTTTTTTTAT